TGGACGAATAAATTAACTTTAAACATGTAAATCCCGTTTGAAAGCAAGTTTAGGCTCTCGCGCATTTGCTTGCTGTGGATATTCAGTATTTCTTTCGATTATTTCTTCCTATCTACATACTTTGTCAAATGTAGGCGAACCCAAACGGAGTAGAGTTCCAAGGAACCATATCCAAGTTGAAGGGCGAAAGGAAGAATAAATTTCGTCGTTGCTTGTTTACGTTATCCATAAAACGCAAAATTAGGCATCTTCACGTCGTAGACGTGCAAAAATGGCAAAGAAATGCAAAAATCAAAGCGTGATGCACGTGCAAAGTTGTTGTTTTGCTAATTAAGCCTATTGTTTTGTTGAATTTCTCGTTGCCGTCTTGTCCTTGGATATTCGTAGTCATCACGTAGACGCGCATGCTCGATGGAAAAGCAAACGGTTGCTCGCAGTGGTTTCTTTGCCAACGAAGCGTAGCGTCCGGCCTGGAGAAACCACTGCTCGCAGGGTACCACTTTTACGGTTAAAACGTGAAAGAATGCAACTTCTTTACGAGTCCATTTTGCTCAACAACATTTTAAGAATTCACCTCCTTTCCGAACATTTGCAATAAAATTATGCATCATTCAATGTTAAGAGTAATAGACTAACATCAATTAGCTCCAATAAAATTATCAAACTGCCGAAATACTTTATATGTGGTCACTCATCGGATGTCATTTCCCTCATTGAAACAATCCCGTATTTATCTCATGCACGATCACGGAATTTTGCGTCATTGGATGTTATCTTTGGCTCTCGACAACTGAGGACAAAAATATTGTCAAACTCTTCGTTATAAGCCAAACCCGACAGTTCCGGCCACAGGTCGATTTTTAATGTTTGATACTACCACCAATTCAAAAATATTCATTACTTCTAAAACTCAAAAAACATACAAAGCAATTGCGAATGGATAGAAATAGCAAAGAAATTAACCTGCCTAAACGAATTATCGCATGTCAAAAAAAATAACAGAGCCATTGGCCGGTTATATGAAAAAATGTCATTCCTCACGAACGAAGACACCTGACAGTAAAAATCGCTCAAACTCTTGGATGTGATCCAAACCCGTTTTAAATTTCATATATTTTTGACAGATTTAATAATTGGATAAATACTTCCAAATTTATGAAAAAACTGGCCGGTTGAGGTAAACAACCCGTAAGCTTCAGATTAAGTTTATCTTTTCCTCCAAATTGAAAATTATCCTTGTGTTGCTTTAACATGTTCATCGCTTTTAATTCCCTCGTCCCCGCGCTGTTGGGAATAGTGTTTCTTTGATGTAAAGTGTTTGACATTGTAAAAGGGGGGTCAAGTACCCTGCTAGCAGAGCTTACTTTCCGGCATAGTTTTTACCTTGTACGAGACGTTCACGTGGCAGACATTCGCGTCGCTTGGCTTGTTTACTTGGCTTGTTTACGTTCGCACGTATTGCGTGCCTATTTCAACTTTGAATCAAAACAAGCGATCTCCGTTACTCTATTTGGGCGACGCCCAAATAATAATGACTCAGTCAATACCAAGCGTGCTCACGCCCCCCCCCCCCCCATGCCGCGTGGTCTCCTGGCTGACAGTCGCGTCCGCTTGGTTTTTTTCTTTGGTTTGTTTATTTCCCCACACTTTGCTGGCCTTTTTCAATTTTGAAACAAAAAAAGGGGCCCCCTTTACTTTTTTTGGGCGACCCCAAAAAAAAAATGGCCCCGTAAAAACCAGGGGGGCCCCGCCCCCCCCCCCCCCCGGGCATTTGTCATCTTTTCGGTACCGGTGGTGGGGAATTTGTCTCTGCTTTAAAGAGATTTGTGTGGTTTTGGCTTCATCACTTCCCTATCCCACATTGTTTTTTGCATTCATCTAAGAAATTGCTTGCCGCCATCGTGATCAGTTCGCACATGGAGGAAAAACAATCAATGTATAGTTTGAACAGTTTAAAGGAAAAAACAATTTCTTTCTGCGGGAATGGTTGAGGCCGAAAGGCCTTGGAAAACTTGGTGAGATATTTGAAAGCTATAATAAATTTCGTGTATTGTACGATCAACACGCTGACGAAACATTTCTATCATTTCGTGATCAGAAATACTCATGGTAAGCTCATCGGTTGTTTGTTTATTGTTCGCTTTTATTTCATTAATTAAAGGTCTTCGAAAATAAGAAAGTCATTATTAAAATTCCAGTTTACAGTTCTGTCACTGATATTAATCAGATGGATGTGATCTTATTGACTGAGGGCGATTTGCGTAGGGCGGTTCACACGTTTTGATCAGATTATTAGAGATTTCCCATAAATAGGGTATTTGCAGCTTATTTACTGGAAAACACACTTTTGATGTTGTTCCGGGGTGGGGCTTCCACCCAAATTTTAAGGCCCACCGTGGGTTTTTGTAAGAACGTCCGGCCCCACTGTGGGGCATTATTGCAGCTTTTCTAAAACAAAATGACAGATGCCCGGGGGAGGATGAGTACGTTTGGAATTGACTGAACCATAAGGGAACCGGTGGGGGATGAATACAAGTATTTTGCATTCTTTACAGCACAGCGCTAACCATTGTACATCTGAATTGGACTGACAAAAAATGTCTGGGACTACAGTTTAATGCTTTTTTTTCAGTTGTTACGCGCTTGAAACATGATCCAAGTTATCGAGGGAAAAATTTTATATCAATGATTGATCTGAAGGGAAAAAAAATTTACTTCGAGTTCGCGAGAGGTTCGATTTATCAAGGGTTCGCGTTAGCGGGAGTCGACTGCAGTGTTGTAAGCGTTTCGGGTCACGTGGTCCGAGCAACTTCGTCTCGGAAACGACATCGAAATGTATTGAAGGCCTTGAATTTTTCATAAAGGATATCGTGATCGATCAATTGTAGATTTAAAACTCGACACACAGTCAATACTCTCGACACTTTTAGAGTTTCATGCTGATTTGTTTGGAGAATCTTGAGATCTGCCTCCGTTTTGGACAATATGTCGAAGCTTCGTGATGTGGCTGCATGTGCCTTGAAGGCAATTTCCCTTTAATTCAACGATCAATGCATTAAGGTGAGTACAAGAAGATTCTCATTCTAGGGTACCTTCCCCCTACCCCTCCCTTAGGCCAACGTTTATTACTGACTAGGCAATTATTACTCGGCGGAGCGCGAGGTAATTTCAGTTTAGCTTTTTACCGTCGAAACCTTGCCTTTACTCCCTGAAACCTAGCTTGGAATTCGTTTTACACCGGGGAAGTACCAAATTTATTTGTTTGCCGGTTAAATTCCCCGCTGATAGATCAAAGTTTCAGTTCTGTACTACGGCCCGAGGTAAGCCTATAATAATTTTCACGCGAACTGTACTGCCGTAATCCAGCGGCCGAAATAATGCTAAATATGCTTTTTAATACACTTTCCAGTTTAATCTATGACAGAAATTATAATCGAATTTGATTACAGCCACGCGGTCATGCACCTAGCAGACTTCCAGTGAAGAAGTTAATGACGTCTGTTACACAAAAGAAGAAAAGTAAGGGTATTTGTATGGAAGGATGTCTGGAAAACTATCATTTCCTACTATTCCTCTACATTTACAATTAATCCACAACCACGACTCCAAAGTGTACGCTCCCATAGCGTCTTGTTGCTTAAAGTGTTTTGTTTAGGGGAGGGGGTGAGTGGGCAGCTTCCCTAGAATCTCAATTCATTTACACACCATGTTTTGACTTCATGATGATTTCAACGTCTTTTTCAACGTTCTTGCACAGCAACTTCAACAAGTTTGCTACCACATCATGTTTAAAATCCAGTGACCAGAGACAGTAATCTGGTAAAGTTTTAAGATCGTTCATTCTGTTTCGTGTATTTTCCTCAAAGAGAGTTCAGTGGACCAAAGATATGGAATATTTTTACCCCTTCATGTAAATCCGAAATTTACCTCTGGAAAAAAGATTCAGGATAATTTTTTTTGAATTTTGTTTAACTGAAACTGATAACTATTTTCAAATCACAGAAATCATCAATCAGCTAAAATTAAATAAGGCACATGATAGCTTGTAATTTATGTCTAACTCACAGGGTTCCGCTCGGTAGTATTTTAGAAGTACTGGATGCAGAGGTTCAGCTGGCGGACTTACACCGCTTGTGCTGCAGGTGGTAATGTCGGAGTCACAAACTTCTAGGGTGGTCCGAGGGCATGCTCCCTGGGGAATTTTAATAGTTGGAGTCTTTAAATGCAATTTCTTGCCTTCTCTGGATCTAAATTGGTTATCAGGGGAGGTCTCTTAAGGCATTAAAAAATGCTCACAAAAAATTAAATATTTGATTTGGTAATTATAATTATTGGTTTGCAGTTGTCTTTTCTTTAGTTCTTAGTACATGGAAAAAAAAAAAGAAAAAAGAAACGATTCTCACACTTCAAAAATAGGTCACATGTCAAACAACCAGACGTTGCGTCCAAAGTCCGGCTTGCATCGAAACCCCTGAACTCGCACTATAATTTCAATCATCTAATTTAACAATTTTCATTTTACGACAGATATTTCTGTATGCAACTTTTTTTGTCCTTTCCTTACTTCAAATTTGTTTGTCTCTTTCCCCTACAACTATTCAGAGAAACCAACCTTGTCACTAACTTCTCAGTGAGGGCAAAATGTTGGGTTAGCGGGAAGGCGTAATTTGAAAAAAGATATCCTATACAAACAGTGTATGTTATTTCTGTGGTCCCCATATTGTCTTTACTTCTATGTTACCAGACAGACCTTGGTGTGGCAGAGTTCCTTACAGGTGTGGTAGAAAATGCCCAGTGAACCATTCCCCTTTCCCTCCCCTCCCCTGCCCTTTTCAGTCCTTACAGCTATAATATAGAAGGAAAAGAACAATCAAACAGTGCAATGATTTCAATTTTTGCTTCATGACCACTTCTGTATGGTAGTAAGTTAGATAGCTATATCCGCCAACAGCTGAGCTTCTAAAAATGTGCTTTTTCCTGAAATCAGATAGAGACGTATCTCAAGTTTCCACGCCAGTGCCAGACTTTCTCGATACTTTTTCAGTTTTGAGTTTATTTCGCAAGATTTCAAGGTCTTTTTCAAAGTTTTTCCTCAGCAACTTCAACAAATCTGCTACCTCGTCATGCTTAAAATTCTGTGACCAGAGACTGTAATCTGGTAAGAAAGTTTTAAGATCGTTCATTCTGTTACATGCAATTTCCTCAAAGAGATGCCTTGAATTCTTTACAATCTCCTCAGCTTCTTCCTTTGTAAAACTATCAGTACCTGACACAAATATCCTGTAGTCCTTGCTTTGAAAGTAATAACTAAGAATTTGAAAATCCTCCTCCGGCGCTAGTTTTTCAATAGGAGCTCGAATGTAGATACCACAGAAAACGGAGGGGTCCGCAAAAAAGTCAACATCAACAATTGCGGAATCCGCTTTCCACCTAGGACCTTTTGGAATAGGAGGACTTCCTTTCTTTTTTGTCTTGCCGATGGATTCTTCCAGAACCTCTCTAATCTTATCACCAAAAATACGTTCCAGTGAACTGTGCAAGAATCTTGTCAGTTTCGTCTTACGGCGTGCTAACTTCAGCAAATTTTTAAGAGTATGAACACAATTCTTGAAGCAATATTTGCTGGCATTTCTTAAGGATGATATACATTTAAGAATGATGGTCACCCTGTTGATGGCATCAGACAAGAGAATATCTGATTCACCATCAGCTGGGAGAACATTATAGTCTTCATACCAAAAGCTTCTTATCCCTTCATTCTGCTTTAACAAACCAAGAAGACCAGTAAATATGTTCACAATACGTTGAGTGAGGTTGCTCCCAGTCCACTGTTTTTCTTCTGGGTTTTTACTCCATTCAAACAAAGTAAGAGTTTTGAGGGTGTATGATGAAATATATTTGGAACTGTCCATATCTGGTTCTGTAACACCACACGGAGAGTGCAGTTTTGTATGCCTGACAAAATTATAAATATCAATAAATTCCAGTACGTTCTTGACAATGGATTTTCCTTTATCAAAGATGTATAGCGATAAGCAATACTGAAACTGATCAAATGGACGAGTCATGTCACGCAACACCTTGAGCACTCTGAGACAAACACTTGGCCCATCATCAGGACCAAAATGGTCACGGAAAAGTGACTGTTCGAGGGATGACTGAGAAATACATAACAGGCAATGAAATTCTTTCAGGCTGATTCTGAGGCTGATTTTTGATTCAGATACTAGAAATCCCAAGCTTCTTTTTTCCTGCTCTTCCTTAAATTCCTTGAACAAGTTTGATGATGATGAAACTGGGTATTCCTTGTATCCGCTCACTGCGAAGTAGTATGGTAAAGTATCTAACAATGACGTCACAACGCGTCCTGCTTGAGATTCAAAGTCTACTTTCATGGTTGAAGAATTAGAGTTAATCTTCACTGCTAAAACCAAATCAACAGCGATGTTCAATCCTTTGAATAGTTCCCCTCCAGTCCATTTGAGGTCTAAAGTATAAGCAGGCCCATGTCTACTCGTTGCTTCTGAAAGGACTTTCAGACCGAACGCTTCAAATCCCTTGACTAACTTGCTGTCCAATGCTTCGACAAACGGCGACTTAATATTTTCTTTCCAGTCAAAAGAATGAAGGTTATGATTTACCTTTGAAAGCTTTTGGAAAGCTGATTCGCTTGGAATCACTGCCACCATACCATGTTTTAATTCCTCAGAGCGAATGTCTTGAGAGAAGTTATCCAACTGTACAAAATAGTCGAACTCGTCGGGTTTTCCGACTTTCGTTCCCTCGTAAAAGCTTCCACTGTTTATAAGTGTTGTTTTGAAGAAAGGAAGGTCTTTCTCTATTTCCAAAAGAAGAGCTTTAAGAAAATTTTCAACACTGGTCTGAATGTCAGTCACTTCTTGACAACCGCACGGTAGTTTTCCTTTTCGTTCATCCAGGTCTTGTATGAAGTGATCTAAAGGCAACAGGGACTCGGCAGCTGCCGCGGCATTTTCATTAGAAGATTCTGGTGATTTTGATTCGTCCTCCCTTTGGTTTGGTCGACTCACATCAAGTTTTTTAAATTCATGTTCTAAGCTTTCCATATTAGCACTATCAATAATCAAACCATAGCATGATTTTTTCACCTGTTATGACACTAAATCATTCTATAGTCCGGTCGCTTCTCTTTTTTCTCTTTGTTCAATCCAGCCTGTCGTCAGAATATTCAAAATTCTGATTGGATCTTGGTTGAGTCAGTTTTGAATGTCGACAGCAGGGAGTGCTGTCGCCATGAGTTGCGCGCAGTTGGTTTTAAAATACAAGTACAATGTAGTTAATGAAGTGCTATGGTTACGAAGGCTGACAATTTTCTTTCTTATATGTTGGCCACTGTTAAACTCCGCCAAACAGAGCTTCGGAAGCATCTTTTCATTTGCAGCTTATTGCTGACTTCATAAACGTACTTTACAAATGTCAGGCAGTGGGTGAAGTAGTTAGGGAATTAGGGTTTCTGGTTCACCTTCTCCCCCCCCTTTTACACCCCCCCTTTTACACCCCACTTTTTTACTTTCTGATTCACACCTCTAACTTTTAGCCTACAATATCATATATTTTAGGATATCATGTCCTCTCACAAATGTGTCAGTAAAGTTCCTGGGTATGTACAAGAATATAAAAAAGAGTGGTTGTACATACGTGGGATAAATAAAATTGAAACTTAAAAATTTATTGTCTTATAATAAAAGCTTATTATAAGACATCATGTCTAACCAAGAAAACGGTTTTCAGGGTTCAGTACCCTTTATACAAGATAAGGAATTTCAAAATATGTCATTGGATCAAATAAGGCATATTATAAAACAAGAAGAAAAAGCTCTCAAAAAGATTACAATGAGTTAGATGAGAGAAAGAGATTAATAAAAAAATTTTTAAAATTACAAAAAGCTAGAGAAAAAGTAAGAAAAGGTATAGATATTAAAAAAGAATATAGGGAAAAGAAAAAGAAAAAAGAAAAAAAGAAGCCTAAAACGTTTCAGGAATATTTTGAGGAGTGTATTAAAAATAGAAATATTCCACCAGATACTCCTAGTTATATGCGTAAAGCTCTTGAGAGAGCAATGATAGATTATGATCAAGGAATAGTAAAAGAAAAATCATCTTTAGAGAATTTTACTTCTAAATACATTATTGAAGGAGATCCTAATCTTACTCCAAATGAATATTTTGATAAGATTTATTCAATATTACATAATTTTTTAGATTACCACAGAAATATAAAATTTGATATTATTTTTGTTTGCTCTATGGAACAACAAGTTAATAATAAAACAGGTATTATTGGATTTAATGAGGTTAAATCATATTTTAGATCAGGTACACGTACTAATCTTAAATCAACAGATATAAATAAATTGATAGATAAATGTTTAAAAAAAATTAAGAAGGATTTAGAGACTTATGAAATGAATGGAAGTGGTTGGTATTTTAAATTTGCGGATCAAGTTGAATTACATACTTCTGAGTTTAATCCATCAAAGGGGTCTTTATATATTAAACTACCAGATTGGATATCAAATAAAAAAGCAATTGTTAATATTAAAAACAGTGATGAGAAATGCTTTCTTTGGTGTGTACTCAGATATCTTCATCCAAAAGAAATAAATGATTGGAGAGTATCAGATCTAAAAAAGTATGAAAAGGAACTCATAACCAAAGGAATTACTTTTCCAATGAGTTTAAAAGATATTTCCAAGTTTGAGAGACTTAATCCTAGTATTCCAGGTATTAATGTTTTTTCAGTTGATAAAAGTGTTTTTTCAGTTGATAAAGGTGTTTTTTACCCACCTAGAATGGCAGAAAGAGATTGTTTAAACACTATAGATTTATTTTTATATGAAGAAGATGGCAACTCACATTATTCTCTGATAAAAAATTTTAATCGTTTTATTAGATCTCAAAAAACAAAGGGAAAAGATAAATTACATATTTGTAAAAGATGTTTTTCACATTTTACCAAATCAGAGTTACTTCAAAAACATATTAAATATTGTTCTACTAATGGTGCAGTTTCTGTGAAAATGCCGGAACCAGGTACAATGTTATATTTCAAAAATTATCATAAACAACTTCCTATACCTTTTGTAGTTTACGCAGATTTTGAATGTTTTACATCACCTCTAAATACTTGTTGTCCAAATCCAGATAAGTCTTATGGTTACAACTATCAAAAACATGAACCATCTGGATTTTGTTACTATCTAAAAGGAGTAGTAGATTCATTTAAACCGATTATTTTTACCAAAACTAGAGATAGTGATGATGTAGCATTAATATTTGTAAAAAAGATGGTAGAATTAACTGAAGCAATTTATAATAAGTATTATTGTAGACCAAAACAACTATTTCTTTCAAAAGAAGAACAAAAATCTTTTAATAAAGCAACATTATGTCATATTTGTCATGGAATATTAAACGATGATAGAGTTAGGGATCATTGTCATTTTACAGGAAAGTATCGTGGAGCAGCTCATAATGAATGCAATCTTAAATGCCGTAAACCAAGAGTACTTCCTGTCATATTTCACAATTTACAAGGTTACGATTCACATTTGTTTATTAAACAACTTTCCAATATTCCAGGTAGATTGGAATGTATACCATCCACTGAGGAAAAATATATTTCATTTTCAAAACATATTAAAGTTGGTGAGTACAAAAATATTAGAGGAATGATAATTCCAATAACATTTGAAATAAGATTTATAGATTCATTTAAGTTTCTTCAAACATCACTTTCCAATCTTGTGGGTAATCTAAAACCAGATGATTTAAATAATACTAAAAGAGTATTTAAGAGTAATTCATCATTACTAACTCGTAAAGGAGTATACCCTTATGACTATGTTTTTTCACTCGAAAAACTATCAGAAACAAATTTACCACCCCCAGAGAAATTTTATTCTTATCTGAATGATGAGGAAATATCAGATGATGATTACAACCATGCACTCAATGTCTGGAATACATTTAAATGTAGATCGATTAGAGATTATCACGATCTTTATCTTAAGACAGATGTAATATTACTTGCTGATGTATTTGAGAATTTTAGATTAACTTGCCTCCGCCATTACAAACTAGATCCAGCTCATTATTATACATCACCCGGACTAGCTTGGGATGCATGTCTTAAAACAACAGAACAGAAATTACAGTTATTAGATGATTACGATATGTTAATGATGATTGAGAGAGGAATACGTGGTGGTATAACTCACATATCAAAAAGATATGCGGAAGCAAATAACAAATATATGGCTAATTATAATCCTGATAAACCATCAATTTATATTCAATACCTTGATGCTAATAATTTATACGGTTGGGCAATGTCTCAAAATCTTCCTACACATGGGTTTAAATGGATAAATGATATTACAGTACAGAGTGTTTTTGATATACTAAATAGTTCAAATTATCGTGGTAGAAAAGGATGGGTATTTGAAGTAGATTTAGAATATCCACCAGAGTTATGGAGTTTACATAATGACTATCCACTTGCACCTGAAAATATAAAAGTTAATGGGGTAGAAAAGTTAGTATGTCATTTTAAACCTAGAAAAAATTATGTTGTATATTACAAAAATCTTAGACAATATTTAGAGATGGGAATGAAGATTACTAATGTTCATAGAGGTATATCATTTTACCAATCTCCTTGGATGAGTCCATATATACAAAAAAATACAGAACTTAGAAAGTCTGCATCTAATGATTTTGAGAAGGACTTTTTTAAACTTATGAATAATAGTGTTTTTGGAAAAACAATTGAGAATATAAGAAAAAGACAGAATATAGTATTAGTTGATAATCGTATCAAAGCTAAAAGACTTGTAAGTCGTCCTAATTTTGAAAGAGTAACAATATTTGATGAAAATCTTATTGCAGTTCATATGAAAAAGACTGAAGTGTATTTCAACAAACCAGTATACGTAGGTCAAGCAATTCTAGATTTGTCAAAAACACTAATGTATAATTTTCATTATAGATATATCAAAAAGAAATACAATAATAAAGCTGAATTATTATTTACAGATACTGACTCGTTAATGTATCAGATTCAAACAAAAGATTTTTATCATGACATAAAAGATGATGTAAAAACTAAGTTTGATACCAGTGGTTATTCATCATCTCATCCATCTGGTAT